ATTCGACCCAAAAACTATGAATCATGGTTCTAGTTCCGAAATCAAGACCAGAATCAACCTGATTTGAACTCTCATACCAAACGTTAATATAAAGTCACAATATATGACTTTTCAAAAGAGCTATTATGAATAGATTTTAAAACTTATACCAAAATTTTAGCAACACATTACAAACTTAATTGTAACGTTTTTATTTCTTATTAGAAAATTTAAAAAGCATTTAGACCACAAACTCTTTAAAAATTTAATTCTAAATACTTACTGAAAAAGTCACAAATTTTACATATTTTCTTCTACCGACTAAAAACAAAAATAAAAGCTCTGCAAACGGCCCATAGTTCGTGCTAGTTCTTCCAAACAAGATATTGCTCACGTTTCTTTGAGAAAACTGTTGATGAAATTTATGCTATGAAGTGTTTGTTGTGTTTTGTGAGCATGAACATAACAAAAACTATGCTCCAATTACGATGGTTGTAAATTGTAATAGCTTTCAGAACTTGATTGCTCATCTACTTATGAAGTAAGTCTGTGTTTTACATACCATCTTTATAACATTCAACATTAGTAATTTGAAATAAAACCTCATGAGCAGCAGAGTATTAAAAGTCAACATGTTATACGAGGAGTGTGAAATCCATTTCCTTCACATCCTATTCTTAACACAAGCAAGCGCAGGAAGGAGGCCTATTCTTATCATATCTCCTTATAGAATGGAAATATTCTAATTTAAAAGTGTCCAAACTCCAATGACACAAGGGCCGCATTTAGAATTGATCCCGTTTTTTTTTCCATGTTTTTCGAGAAAGAAAAAATAAAAACGTTCTTAAAACGGCTTTTGACGCAATAAAGATAAAAAAACGGAAATGAAAACGATATTTTGATTTAGTATAAAATGAGAGAAATGAAAAATGACTTTTAATCGTTTTTCATTTTCTCTTCTCTCGAGCAAAGAGAGAGAGTGAGAGAGAGAAAAAGAGACATTACTGTTTTTTTTACACTGAAAATAATCTCTTGATAAAACTACTAAACGCATTTTCAAAAAAGATTTCTGTCTGAAATTAAAAACGTTTTCATTTTCCTTTTATACAAAAAATAAATCATTTTCGAACGAATTCCAAACACGTTCCAGTTCTCTTCATTCTATTATTCAAAACAAACAGGGGAAAACTGTGTTTATGTATTATGTAAAGATTACAATGAATACATGATATTTTTTTTTTTCTGAGAAACAACAATGAATAGTTTGTGATTAAGACAAACTATTAAATACCATAGCAAAGTCCCTATATGCACGTCCAGAATAAATTACACCATCTGAATGAGAAGCAAGTTACAGAACGCAAATGATTATAAATCTCCATATACAGATAGTAGACTTACAACAAGTAGATAACTTTAATTTCATCTCCATGGCCAATAAAAGAAGTTGACATTTCAAAGAAAGATACTATAGATGATGCCTCTAATTCAAGGGTTGGATCTCTCTAGATACAACATATGGCATAACTTAAGACTAGTGATGGAATCCAATTAGAAGAAGACATATTAGATTGTTTTTCATTTTACTAGATTTTAATGATCTAAACACAATCTAAATAAGATAAAAAATAATAATCTAGTCAAAAATTAAAAAATGCCATAAAAACTCTTATTGGGATTTAGGCATACCTCTATTCCGATGGACAACAAAAGACGTCGACCATGGTCGCCGGAATCCGCCAATGGGCCGGCCGGAAGTGAGTGAACCTGCAAAAGTGCAAAAGGAAGAAGAAGGGCAAGAGGAGCATTGAGCTCGTCCCTATCTCTCCCTCTCTCTGTTCGGTCGGCCACAGCCCCAAAAGCCCCACGCACAAGCCCATCAAAAAATAAAAGGTTGGCTAATTATATAACAAGATAGCCCTAAGGGCTTTAAGCAATATTCAATGGAGAGGGTATTTGGTCCAATGAGCTGACCAAATATTATGAGATATGGAGAGTTTATATACCTAAAGTGAGTTAATAAAATAAATTTCCATCTCATTATGGACTAATATTTAACATACATGCATGTGTTAATTTATATTAACACAATTGTCTATAAGATGTTTTAATTAATTACAAAGTGAATTATTATGATTATGGAAGTCCACATAAAAATATTCCAACAGACACAACATATGGCATAACTTAAGACTAGTGATGGAATCCAATTAGAAGATGACATATTAGATTGTTTTTCATTTTAGTTTGTTGGGTTTGCGCCAACACTTCCATTCAAGAGCAAATCAATACTGATAAAAATAGCGAAACATCAATCTCTTAATGCCAATCCCGTAGAAATCCTTCTTACTTTTACAAACCCTTTTTTTTTTTAAAAAAAAAAAAAAAAAAAAAAAAAAAAAAAAGAAGAGGAGAAGACAATTAGCTGGATAGTACGTACTTTTATATCAGCACAAGATTGATCATAGTTGTTTCCCTAACCCCTCTTTAAAATGATGCGTATAGCCAGCGAGTCACCTTCTTCTAGGCTCCGCTGGACGGCGCGGGAGAAGGGGACGGGGTTGCGGTCGGAGTCAGGGTCGGAGGGGGAGGGGAAGGGAGTTTGAGAGTGGAGAATGAAAGCCAGAAGCTTTACATGAGTTTTGCAGGGATGGTAGTGTATGGCATCAAATTAGAGTTCTTAATTATGACTTTTAAAATTTAAATTTTTTGAGAGAAAAAAATACTTTAACAGAATTAAAATCATAAATTTATACGGTAACATAACTCATATACCAAGCATCACTTGCTTGAAGTTCCAAGAACTGTGGAGTTTTAGAATGGTGAAGATTTAACTCCATTTTTTTTTGAAAGAGTTTGGCGCCAAATCCTCTGTAACAAAATATAATTGTTCCTTGTGTGTCAAGCCTCACAGTGCTTTTCAAACCCAGGATTTGGGTCCCAATTCTTGAGTTTTGATATGTCGTTTTACGAAGTTGACAACAAGCTTTTAGGATTCTTATTTTTTTTAGCAACATTGCTCCCCCAAACGTTTTGAGTTTTGGCAATTTGTCGCCAAAACTTCTAATTTTAATAGTTTGTCTCCTAAATTTTTTAAACTCTTTAACATTTCTCTTCCCATTTAATTATTGGGACTTTTTTTTGGTATTTTTCTTAAAAAAAAAACACCGGTGTTCCCTGCTTATTAGTCGTTAGATCTATATTAAATTCGGTAAAAAATCAAATCAGACTGAAAAAGTAATACAGATCTGACGACTAATAAGGAGAGAACACTGATATACCTAAAAAGAGAGAACACCAGAGAAATTTCCTTAATTATTATGTGCTCTCAATTACAAGTGTTTCGTGGACCACACACAATATAGAGAATTGGAAAAACGAATATCAATTCTTGCAAACTCTTTGGTGTTGAGTCTTTATCAAAGAAAATGAATGTCAAATTTACTTAGATACCTTAAAATTCACATGTCATGGTTTAATTATTATTAAGTTATACGAAATGGTATTTTAGTAATTACTTTGATAAAATTACCATTTTTAAATTTAATAAATACTAGAAAAGAAAATGAATTCCACAATGCACTATTTAATAGACAAATAAATATTACAATACTTCTCATTCCTATTACTTTTATTTCTTTTCCTTTTCTTTCTATCCTTTACAATTTGGTAAACATGCCCAAAGAGTGACATGTCATTCACCAACAACAAAACCAGTTCTCTAAACACGTCCATTACATAAAGCGACATCTAGTTTATTGTATAGTTTGGTTAACAAACTTGGTTAATAATAAATCCTTTCGGAACTTTCTCTGTAGGGTAGGTCAATTAAAATAATAATTATTAAAAAAAAGTGAAATTCAATCATCTTTTATCTTTGGGAATAAGTCGTCCATCATTCTTTCTTAAATTGATAATTAAGAGTAATAATGCATAATTTTAAGAGAACAAAACATTAAACTCGTTTAGTTTATAGATTTAAACAAAAAATTTTAAACAGAAATATAGATTTAATAGAACAAAGTTTTAATAAATAAGAACAAAATCGTAGCAAGAAAAAAAATAAAGACAAAAAAAAAAAATCCTTGATTTTCCTAATATAATTAATTCATTTTTAAAACTGAAAGTAAAAGTTTAGTCTGAAAAGGGTCTGAATTTAGTCATAAAAGAGAGAGTCCATCCTGTTTTCTTTTAAGAAGGAAAAAAAATGACAAATATTCTTTTAAACGTGCATATATTAAGATTTTTACTCTTTATAATTACATAATTATATTAATAAAATGATATTAATTAAGAATGAAGACTAAAAATTTAGACTCAGTAAATTTTTAAGAATAAATTCTGTAATTTTTTTTTAAAAGACTAATGAGTTTGTTCTTTTGAAGTTTAACTTGAGTATAATTATTGAGTTGAATTTGAGTTATAACTTGAGTTGAACTTGTAACTTGAGTTTATGTTTGGTTGTGTACATTTGAGTTATGGTTTGAGATAAGAATCTTTTTGAGTTTGTGTTTGAGTGAGTCAAAACTTGAATTTGTATTTAGATAGTATTTTAATAAAAACTCAATACTGATAAAAAATTTTAATAGGGTATATGAGTCGGGTTTTATTCATCTTTTCGTTGTCAATGCATAGAAAAAAAATCATCTCAATTAGAATTAAAACGAAAAAGTTATAGCATTTTTAAGAATAGAAAAAATACTATTCATTAATTTGAGTTCGAGTTTCTGAACTCAAGTTGAAGGGGAAACTTGAACTCGAGTTTTAGTCCTAAACTCGAGTTTGAACTCGAGTTTAAACTCAAATTTAAACTTAAAAGAACATGAACTCGAATAAAATTATAACTCGAGTTGTATTTTTTTTAAATTTTTACTTAAAATAACGAGCCCTGAAAATCTTAGCATAGCCCAACTTGAAGGTTCAAACCGGATCAAACTCAGGCCTCGAATGGCTCGTTTAGCCGGCCTAAATTTTGAGCATTCGAAACCCAAAAAAGAAAAAAAAAAAACTTTTTAAAACAAAACTTTTTTGAGAATTGGTAAGATCTCCATCTCATTAAAGAATTCTCGGGGAAAAAAAAAAACCGCTGAGAAGGAGAAGGGCTATTGAGAAATGGCTGGGCTTTGACTCATCACCAGCTTCCTCTGTGGAAGTCGTTTCTCTCCCTCTCTCGGCTATGGCGGCTTTCGCAACAATGGGCAATGGAACCCTTAAGATGAATTTCCTTCTCCTTCTAGTTCTGTTAACCACCCTTGTATTATTCTCAGCTCCTTCAGCTTCTGCTTCGGCGAGCGATCACCGCTACAATGTCGGAGATCACGTCCCCTTATTCGTCAACAAAGTGGGACCTTTAAACAACCCCAGGTAACCCAAACTCTCTGTTTTTTTTTTTTTTTTTTTTTTTTTTTTTGGGAAAACTGGGTTTTGTTTGAAGATGCAAAGAAAATTGAGAAGAAGTGGTAACCCCATTTGGCAGTTTGCATTATTAACCTTCATCATGCGGATACAATGGCGACTTTTGTTCAATTAAGAAAAATTTTTGACGAGTCTTTTATGTTTTGCGTTGACTCTATTAGTAGATCATAAACCAATTCTGTGAACTTCAGTAAACTAATGCCAATTCGAATTTTTGAATACAGAGAAATATACATTTTGTGTGAAAATCTGAAGATTGAAAATTCAGAAAAAGTTAGTAGTGGTTTCTGGAACATATTCTGAAGATTGGAAAACAGTTTCTGGGTTTGAAAATTTAATGTCATGTGCAATTATTAGATAAAAGTGGTGTTGAAAGCTTTGTTGTTATTGTTAGTTTTGATTTGAGATAATGGATTCAAAGTGAGGCAGAACTTTTCCTTCCGAAGAACAAGAATCTTCCAAAAGCAGATGCTACTTGAATATTTATGGGCATTAGTTAGAGATTTACGAAACCGTAAAGGAAAAAGAATGTGGATTGTTGATTCTCTGTCTTGTTTTTACGTATTTATTAGATGGTGTAATGAGAAACAATCCAATCCCCTTTTAGCATTTACTAACTTGGGAATAGGAACTGTATCAATGTGACTACTAGAATGTCCTTTTACATAATTAGATAATTATTGGATTATAATATGTGAACGCGTTAAAGGTATATAAGTAAATTTGATATCCATTTTTTGATTGGGAATCAATATCAAGGGAGATGTAAGAATTGGTATTCCCTTTCTTCATTGCTTATGTTGTGTGGGCCCTCTAAACTCAGGATTAAATGAGACGGGAATCACTCTCTCCTTCCTTTTCTTTTCATGTGAAGTAAATACACCCTGATTGTAGTATGCTTGAAGAGAGTGTTTCTAAGGGCCCGTTTAGTTCGTTCATTCGAGTTTAGATGTGATTTTATGTGAGAGCTTTTTACTGTAGCAAAAAAGTTAGTGTGGCTGTTTCTGAGAGCTTTTTACTGTAGCAAAACTCGAATTCTAAACTCGAATCGGTGAAATAAACGGGGCCTAATAATGTTTCTTTTATCTTATGTTTGAGACTGTTCTTCAATGTCTGTGTTTGTTTGTTAATATGAAGTATAGAAAGATATGCTTTTGGTCCAGATTATACCAGTTGTGCTGTATGTTTCCTCTAAGATTCTTTTAGGTGTTACATATGCAATGTTTTTCTAATAATTCACAACATTAATATGCTATTCATTGATGGAACAGGCCATTGAAATGGTTGTACCGGAAAAAAATAATAATAATTACACCTACCAATGAGTGATTGTGGTTGCGTTAATAACATCACTATGCCATTGCTTGTTTCATACATTTTCGGTTGGTTGCTTTGCTAAATTCACAGCATCTTTCTTGCACAATGTTGGACACTAATTTGTGATCCTATTTATCTCAATAAGTGCTTGATGTTTCTTTTTTCTGGAATGTGCAGTTTATATACCTTTGCTATTGTTATGCTTAGTGTTATTTTAAAGGCTAAAATTCTTTTCTGGATAAAGCTTTATTTAATGCATAAATCATGAAAGATTTTTTCTTGAAAAAGTTTTAGTGCATTAATCATGAATTTTGTTTCTAAAATAACTTTCCTTGCAGGAGTAAAATATAAAGCTTAATTGAAATTTTATTTTCCTTCCAAGATAATCGTGCCTTCTTTTAGCATTTAATTTTTTTTATTGTAATTGTCATTCTCTTGCAGTGAAACCTATCAATACTATGACTTGCCATTCTGCCATCCAGGTTAGCCTTTAGGCTCAGATGAGGTTTTGATTATGTATTACATATTGGAAGAAGAATCAGTTTAGATTGATAAAGAAGATGGCGGCATATGTGATAATTTGATCTATTGTGAGATCTTTGATACAAACTTGAATCAATCAGAGGTCTATACTACCAATGTTCTTATTATCCTGCTTATATGAACTTCTATGGTGTATCAGAACGGTAATTGTTTTGAGATCTGGTTCTCTATAACTAATATCCGATGTCATTGAAGTTGTGGTACTATTCAAGCTTTGCCTTGTCGGACATGGGATTAAATTACGTTGGTTAAATCAGTTCATATGTTCTGAATTGGCTTTTTCTGTTGTCTCTTATGTTAAACTTACATCCCCAAGCAAGATAAAGCAAAAGGAATTTGTATTTCTCTGCAGATACTGTAATACAGCAGACAGAAACCATTGGTGAAGTTTTGAATGGTGATCGTTTGACCAATACTCTATATGAGTTGAATTTCCGTGAGGGAAAAAGTCATACAACCCTTTGTCATAAAAAGCTTAAAGCTAGTGAAGTTGCTATATTCAGGAATGCTGTCATCAGGGATTTCTACTTCCAGATGTACTATGATGACCTTCCTTTGTGGGCATTTGTTGGGAAAGTTGAAGAGGAGTATTGGAACCTCAGTGGGCCCAAGTATTATTTATTCAAACACGTTCAGTTTGATGTCGTTTACAATGACAACCAAGTCATAGAAATTAAAGCTTTTAGCGATCCTAATGATGTTATGGATATAACTGAAGATGCTAAAATTGATGTTGAGTTCACTTATTCTGTTAACTGGAATGCATCCTCTGCTAACTTCAAAAGCAGGATGGACAAGTACTCAAAGGCTTCTTTGCTGTCAATTCGTCAGAAAATGCATTGGTTTTCTTTTATTAATTCTATTGTCATCATTTTCCTCTTGATGGGATTTCTCACCTTGCTTATCATGCGGCGACTGAAGAATGACATGAGAAGGTAATTTTAACAATTATGAACAATGTTTTAATTAGCGGTATAGTTCTTTAACAAACTCATATTTGCAACCTAATGATAGGTTCTCTAATGTTGATGAAGAAGAAGATAAGGAGGTTGGTTGGAAATATATCCATGGCGATGTATTCAGATGCCCTTCCAACATGTCCTTGCTTAGTGCCGTTTTGGGCGTTGGCACCCAGTTACTCACCCTGTAAGGAACTTTAAAAACTTAAATGCATATACTTCACGCTCCAAGTCCTTGCTCCATATCTTGTGTATCCAACTGTTCTCTCAGTAGCATTAACTATAGGTTTTCCTCTTTTGCTTGAATAGCACGTTGTCTGCTTCATGTATGCTAGTAAAATGCACTATCTTTTTCTGTGGAGCTTGTATGTATTTCAATGCCTTTGTTATGCCTGAGATTTCCAAAGTCAACATTAGTTTGTGCCGATGCTCTTTGACTTCTATCATTTTATGGCTTGCACATGACATTCATGTGATCGGAAAGGTTATATTATTTGAATTTTAACCTCATAAATTCTGTTTATTTTTCCTTTTCTTCCCCAATTTCTAATCTTTTGCATTTTCCTTCAGCGTTTGTATCTTATTTTTGCTGGCATTTTTTGGAGTCTTTTACCCGTACAATCGTGGAGCACTTCTAACTTCTATTGTCTCTGTATATGCTCTTACGTCCGTGGTTGGTGGGTATACTTCTGCTGCTTTTCATAATCAATTTTCCGAGGCTGGATGGGTAATTTAATGTTTTCTGAACCTCTATTCTGCTGTTTCTCTTGAGATTTTCTTTCCTAACAAAAACAACCTTGACTTTTCAGAAAAGGAGTGTTCTTCTGACTGGAATTCTCTACACGGGTCCATTGTTTGCGACAATGTCTATTGTTAATACAATTGCTATAGCTCAGGGGGTTACCGCTGCACTTCCATTTGGCACCATTGTGGTTATTCTTCTAATATATTTTCTCCTTGCAATCCCATTGCTTGCCTTAGGAGGGTTGATTGGACATCGTTTCAGATCAGAATTTTCCGCACCTTCTGCTACAAAGCCATATCCAAGAGAAATTCCACCATTAGCTTGGTACAGGAAAATACCTAGTCAAATGCTCATTGCGGGTCTATTACCTTTCGGTGCAGTTGTGCTTCAGTTACACCATCTTTATGCAAGCATATGGGGCTACAAGATATATACTCTACCAGGCATTTTGTTCGTTACATTCGTTATCCTCGTCATACTAACTGCAATCTTAAGCATTGGTTTGACATACATTCAACTTTCTGTTGAGGACCACAGATGGTGGTGGAGGTATGTTCTCTTTCATGCACAACACACCCAAATAAGAAATGGCATGTTCACAGATTTTACCCCATATACTCTATGTTTGCTTGTCGACTAAGAATGCTCTTACATTCTCATATGTTATGCTTGTGGTAATTTTGAATCTTTCCCCGGTGCAAATATTTCAACAATCTATATGGAGATAGTACAAGGTCTTATTTTTCAGGGACCAGAATAAAATTTTGCTGCAACTTCAACATGAAGTACAAACAGGTTTTCTGCATGCAGTCTTTGGATTAACAATATCTACTGAATGTAGCGTTGTTTAACCACTAAAAAATATCAATAGCTTATCAGTTTCAATTTAAAATCTCAAAATGTCTTAATTTTGTCTTCCTTATTGAATGAACAACCGCTCATATGAGGATCGCATGAAACACTCAATCTCAAGGCACTTTGCGGTTTAATTTTTCTCTAAAAAAAAAAAAGAAGAAAAACACGACAGATGATTAGATCAGACTAAAAAGTAGGTGGTTGGAAATTTTCTATTTTATTTTTTATTTTTATTTATTTTTGAGGGGAGGGGATTCATTCACAAACTGGAGACATTTTTCTCAAGTGATCAGGTTCTTTTTCAATTAGAAGTCAAATATTTTGAACATTATTTGACATTCTTTCCCCTGAACTTAGAATTTTACAAATTGTCCCTTGAACTTAATAAAGTGCTGCATTGTGCCCTAGATCAATGACTACTATTAAAGTTTGGACGGAAATGCCTTTGTACACGCCATGTGAGCTTGTGTAAAGAAAGAGACTGAAATTTCGGATGATGATGAGGCATATCATGTCACGTGCACGAGAGCGTTTCCTTTCAATGATTAACATCTTTAATCGATTTAGGGGCATTCTTCAACATTTTATTAAGTTCAGGAGCCATTTGTCATTTTACTAAAATTTCAGGGGCAAAAAATCCAAAAATCTTATTTTAAAACACTTTCTGTAGACTTCTGTTTGTCTTATATCTCGGCTGGTGCATCTGCATCCTGAGTACCGAGAAAAACACGAGCAAAGAGTATGTAACGTCAATCTTTGATGACTGATACGAGCACTTGGACGTTTTAGACATGTTTAAAAGTACAGAGTTCTTTACGGACATCTTTAATCCTAATATCGGCTTCCTTGTCTCGAAAGAAAGCACATTTTCCCTCTGTTGTCTATTGGGTTTCTGTATCTTTTCATTTCTTTTTTTGTTTGATAGCTTTCGAGGTTAACGACTTGTATTGTACTCTGTCATGCAGATCTGTTTTATGCGGGGGATCCACCGCTATTTTCATGTTTGGTTACGCCATTTACTTCTATCTGAAGTCCAATATGGATGGTCTCATGCAGCTGTTGTTCTTTATTGGTTACAATGCTTGCATGGCCTACGCTTTCTTCTTGGTGCTCGGTACAATTAGCTTCTGTGTTTCGTTGATGTTTGTTCGTTATATATATCGTGCCATTAAAAGCGAGTGAGCCAACAATGCAATCTGCATTTGGTTTCCTTTCGCACACGCGCACTAATGGTTGGAGAGAAGGGAGAGAGGAGGAGAAAAGAGGGCATTTAGATTTGTAGTGTTCCATTTTTTTCCTGGTACTGAAAGCAATAGAAACTATGAGCAGGATTGTATTTGTGACAACCATTGAGAATTTTGGAATACACGTTTTACGTTTTAGATGTGAATTAGAGGCTCCTTACCTGCCCCATAATTATATGTAGCTTCTCTAATTATGTTGTCAACATGTATGCAAATATTTACCCACTAACGAGTATTATTGTTTTAGCCACGAGATATTAATTCGACAGTTATAATAAATTAAATAGTTGACTGAAAAAATTAATAACAATTAATGAAATTAGATTTTTATTATGCTACATCATTAAATTTTTATATTTAGAAGTGATCACTGATGGAAACGTAATAATTGAGAACTCGTTTATATATATATGTATACACTTTTAAGGTGGTCGCATTGATTATGTATTAGAACTATGAATTAGGAAAAATCGAGATGCTTATCCGTTTAAAAATATTTCTTTTGAAGAGGTGATAGGAGGGTAGGTTCGCTAATTTTCTTGTGGGACATGTGGGAAAACGTCTTTGCCCTTTTAAAGTATTATTTTAGGACTTGTTCTTTTGGAACAAAATTTAAAAAAAATTTAAACTCAAGTTACAACTTTATTTAAGTTCATGTTATTTTATAAAATTTGAGTTTTAACTTGAGTTTTAACTTGAGCTTGAGACTAAAATCTGAGTTCAAATTTTCCCTTTAAATCATGTTCCTAAACTCAAACTCAAGTTAATGAATATTAATTTTTCTATTTTTAAAAATGCTATAACATTTTCGTTTTAATTCCGATTGAGATGATTTTTTTTCTATGTGTTCACAATAAAGAGACAAATACAATCACACCCATATACCCTATTAAAATTTTCCGTCACCATTGAGTTTTTATTAAAATAATATATAAATACAAATTCAAGTTTTGACTCACCCAAACACAAACTCAAATAAATTCTCAATTTAAACCATAACTCAAATGTGCACATTTAAACACAAACTCAAGTTACAATTTCAACTCAAGTTATAACTCAAATTCAATTTAAGATCTAACTCAAGTCAACATAACTCAAAAATGCAACCGAACAAGCCCTTAATAAATGTTCCGGGTTTTGTTGAATTGGAAAAATGATTGTCCTTTATAAAATGATTAATTAGTGATTGATTTATTGATTTAACGGTTAATTAATGATTTAATAATATGATATATGTTTAACTAATGTTAGTTAATAATTGACTGATTTATTACTAATTGACTTAATGTGAGAGCTTTTTATTGTAGTAAAAAAATTAAATGTGACTGTTTTTTAGAGTTTTTTATTATAATAAAACTCGAATCGGTGAAATGAACGGGACGTTAGTAGTAACTATTGATCAACACATGTGATTTTCGCGCTGATTTTTTTTTTTAAATAGATGGCCAAAACAGATCGCCCATCTAATTTCTCCTTTCTTGCAGTCATGTCTCCTTTCTTTCTACATATTTACCAAATGATGCAGTACTTATAGAGATATATTAGATAATCGTGGCCTATCTCTAATTATCTGTTGTGGTTACTTAAATATTTGCAACAGATAATTCGAGCGGCCAGGTTTCTTGATTATGGACTTAATCTTGCCATTTGTTATCAGTACTCAGGAATTTATACAACACTTATTTTTTGTGTCTGCTTGCGTTTTTTTTTAGTATGATCAGCTTGCGTACATTCTTTTGTTTTGTTTTGTTTTTTCGTTTTTTTGTTTTTGTTTTGTTTTGTTTTTTTTTTGTATGATCAGTTTGCGAGTTGCGTGCATTCTTTTGTTTTTGTTTTTTTTTTGTTTTTTTGAGTATGATCAGCTTGCGTGTATTCTTTATTTTTATGAAAGTCAAATTTCGGATCTTATTTCTACTGCTCATAATTTTGAATTTTTGACAATCTTTTTATTCGAAAGTCAAACCAAGCTTACTCTTTTATTAGTTCCTTTATTCATGAGGCGTGACTATGAGCATGTAATAATAAAATGTACTATATGGTTTTCTATAAAAATACAAATATGTATAATATATGGTGAAAGAGATAAATATACTTTTATTTTTTTAGGAAAAAAAAGATATATTTTTATTTATGCTGTAAACCCCGTTGATTTTCTCAACTAGTATTAATAATAATATTGGAATTCTCTTGTGAAGTTTTTCGAGCTTTATCTAATGTGTAGTGCTTTTCTTTACAAATATAATAAGAATAATGTTAGGAACACGAACTCCTATATCAACTCTTGCATACTAATTGATGTGGTATTTGAGTTGTTATTTTTTTATTGATAGATACAATTTCTTATCATTAATTAACGTAATGTTTTAATGAAAAATTAACTAAATGGCCTATTTATCACTTTTTTTTTTCATAAATGGCCAATCTCTTTTTATTTTATGAAAATCGCCGAATTATTTTTATTTTACGAAAGTGGCCTTTTTTTCAAAGAGTCGATCAGTGATTGACGCATAATTTATAAATGGCCTATAATTTGTTGATTGAAATTGATTAATTACTAATTGATTTTGATTAATTGTTAATTGATATTGATTAATAATGAAGAATTATCGAATTAATCAGTAATAAACTAAAATCAATCAGTGATAGACAGTTAAATTAATCAGTAATTGACCAATAAGTTAATAAAAGTGACCATGACATACCTAAATATCTTCAATTACTTGATTTACATATACCTAATAAATGATCTGCCTTTTTGACTACCAAACTTGATCTGCCCTTTTCTTTTCCAATTACTTGATATCTACTAGGGCCCTAGCTGCACTTGTAGTGAAGACATTTTCTTTTTCTGGTCCGTGAAAAATCTTCAAGATATGAGCTAGAGAAGCTAATCTCTAGCTGAAAATAACTCTGTAAAAAGTGGACAAAACATACTCTTTTCTATAATACAATTCAAACTAGATTGACAAAAAAAAAAAAAAAAAGCTTAAGTAAAATAAAAATGAAGAACCGATTCTAACCATTCTGCAACAGTCCAATCGAGGCCGCAAGATAAATGAGAATTTTTTGTAAGATTGCTTAAAATACGGCCAAAACCAGCTTTTCCAAATCTTGATCCATGCGAGTTAAAAATTTCCCAATACATAACACTGTTATTGATTTGACGGCCGAGAACAACAATAACATGCACAGAATGGACAACTAAGGGATCACCATCCTTACCCTTTTGAATACCCGGAGAATAGATATTCAATAGAAAGAATGATAAAATCATGGGAAAATATATAATTAAAATTGGAATTATGTAAAGCATAAGAAAAAAAAGCACAAAAAATCCATAAATCAACAAGATTTAGTACCAAAAAATGTTTATAAATTAAAAAAGAAATGATAAAACTACTTACATGGATGTTTAGCTGAGGAACTCTTTCCTGTATTCCAACTTACTAAAAATTAAATTACAATTAGTAAAAGTAATGAAATACTTAAGGAATATAATACGTAAATGCATTATATATATATTACTATCTGACTTTTGATCTCTGATGCGAAAATTCTTAAAATAATCATCTCTATGCTTCAAACCGCTAACTAGAAGTTCACTCTCAACCATGAGAGCCGATTGTGTTTGCCATTAGATAAGAATGATCATTTAATAACAATTATTATGCTTAGTCATTTTATTCATTCATACGACATTGGAGGTAGAGTAAAGGTATGATTTACATATGAATATATAACATTTCAAAGGGATATTTATAACATGAAATGATTATCATGTTTTGTTTTATTTTTGGCGATATCTCAAATGGTCATTAATCATGGTTTTGGGGTTCGTATATTTATTCTTGGTTAATGTATCACATTAACTATAAGTTTCTTTAAATTTTATATTTTTTTTTATATATGCATGGTTTAGAGTCATTTTATTTATGTATAATTATTGTTGTGATCTTATTTGCGTTTTTTCAATGTTAATATGCTTTCATTGTTTTCACATGAGAATGCATAAGTAATTATTTGATAACTTCTGATTGTGTTTTGGTGGCTTATAAAGTACTTAAACCCATATATAGCTAGTTATTTCTTGTACAGATATTCATTTTTTTTTAGCAATAATCAATATTATTGAAATGATTAAAAGGGTTAAAAAATAATTATTTTGCTTAATATAATTTAGAAAAATTTCTTAATAGAGGGTTTTTTTTTTTTAAGTTGTCTCTATTATTTGAAGAATTGTATGTTCTCTTAAGATCCCTTTTAATCATGTTGCTAAAATGCCGTAAAATAGTTATGATGAAAAATATTAATTTCTCGCAAAATTCTTGTAGCACTTGTATGTATTGGTTTTATGTTTATTCACATGTTAAGCAATCTCATATTGTCGTATGTGTTATATATATATATATATATATATATATATTGCTTTTATGTTTATTCACATGTTCAGCCACTAAAGTATCCCATATTTGCGTCCATGATCACAGAATATAAAATTCTCATCATGATGATGAAGAGATGATGAGGCTAAACAACAAGCAATCTAATATTGTCGTATGTGTTATATATATATATATATATATATATATTGCTTTTATGTTTATTCACATGTTCAGCCACTAAAGTATCCCATATTTGCGTCCATGATCACACTAGAAAATTCTCATCATGATGATGACGAGATGATGAGGCTAAACAACAAATAAAAAATATGACATAAAATATAATGTCTGGCTGGCTTCAGCAAAAAAAAAAAAAAAAAATAAATAAAAAAAAAAAAATAAATAAAAGGTAACGTCCAAACATATTCTCAATTCAAATCATAACTCAAATGTATACATCCAAACACAAACTCAAATTACAACTTTAACTCAAATTATAACTTAAACTCAACTCAAAATCATCATAGTTCAAAAATACAAAAGAACAAAAAAAAAAAAAAAAAAGAAAAAGGTAGCCTCCTTGTTTTAACAGTAGTGAGAATCATAACAAAAGTCATGGTTATCCATCATAGTGGAGAGCTTGCTTTATCAATTTATCAAAATCAGAATAAGAAGAACCCCCAATATCAGTAGCCTGAACTGCTTTCTTTTTCCACTCTTGAACTTTTTCTCTCAGTTTCTCCCCTTTATCTCCTTCCATCATCTTCTTCACAATGGCAGCAACTTCATCACTCTTAACATCATTGTTCACTTCCACTCCAATCCCCCAAGCGGTGCATGCAAAATGACAGTTTGTTTGTTGATCGCCAAAGAACGGCCAGCAGATCACAGGCACGCCGGCACAAACCGTTTCCAGAGTCGAATTCCAACCACAATGTGTGAGAAAAGCCCCAACAGAGGAATGTGCTAAAACTTGTTGTTGTGGACACCACTTTGCTATCAAACCTCTTTCCTTAATCTCTTCGAAAAACTCCTCAGGTAAAGTTGCTGAATCGGAACCGACAACAACATCAGGCCTGACTATCCACAAAAAGTGGTGCTTGCTCTTTGCAAGCCCCCAAGCGAATTCTCTGAGGCTTTCTTCCGTCATTGTGGTGACGCTTCCATAGTTCACGTAAACAACTGAATTGGGTTCTCTTTTGTCAAGCCATTCAAGACATGCCGGGTCTTCTTTCCATAAGCTTGTGCTCAGTGACTTCAGTGGGTGTTTTTCAGGAACATGTCGGCTGAGCAAAGGAAGTGGACCTACAGTAAAGATGTTTGGGATGTACTTTGCTGCGAGTGCTTCAAGAACATCGTGTTCGAACTCGTTGAATGTGTTCAATATGATTGCAGAGGATTTCAGGCAGTTCTGTGCTTCTACTTTGACGAAATCGAACAATATGTCGTCCAGTGATTGTGTTCTCATGAAGCTTGGTAAGTTCTTGAGTTTGATGTTTTTCATGCCAGGGATCCAGTCTATTTGAGTGTCAAGAGTACCATCATGCATGAAGTTTCCATCTGAGACGAATCGAGGATATTAGTCATCTTTTGATATTGCAAAAAAGGGACAATTTTCAAACAGTGATTGATATATTTCCGTTATAGTACTTGGACACTTTTTTTTTTTTTTAGAACTGTGTTTCAGATTACGTCACATGCTATTTAACTCAATTTAGAGCAAATTAAGATTTTACTCTTTTGGTTTCTATTTCTTTCCACGGATGTAGAAAGCATAAATGAGATCATATAACCAAACCGTACCAAAAATAAAATAAAATAAATGGAAAAATGAAATGATTTGGACTCAAAATTTTGCCTGAATGTTGTTAAAAAAAAAAAAAAAATTGCTGGCGTACATTGTAGCTCTACGAGGAATATTAATTGTTGCTTTATAACATCCTGCAAAGCATGGAAGCTATCTTTACAATGCATAGAAAAAAAAAATCTGTATATAAAACCAAAGTCATATATTCAAGTCTAGTAATAAACTCATCTAAAGATTTAAAGAAATATAGATGACTTTACATTAGACCAATAAAAATTGGTACCTCTAAAAGGAATAATGCCTTTTCTAGCAAGTTCATCAAACTGCAGGAATCCCATGAAGCTACAAGTAGAGGCTGGC